GCACAAGGACATGGAGCTGTTAGAGCGGGTCCAGAGGAGGGACACTGAGATGATCAGAGGGTTGGAGCACCTCACCTATCAAGAAAGGCTGAGAGAGCTGGGGATGTTCAGCCTTGCAAAGAGAAGGCTCTGGGGTGACCTCACTGCAACCTTTCAATACTTAAAGAGGTCTTATAAAAAAGATTGAGAGTGACACTTTACTCAGACAGATAATGATAGGACAAGGGGGAATGGTCTTAGACTAAAAGAGGGGAGATCAGGTTAGACATCAGGAGGAAATTCTTCACTCAGAGAGAGGTGAGGCCCTGGCACAGGCTGCCCAGAGAAGCTGTGGATGCCCCATCCCTGGAAGTGCTCAACACCAGGCTGCATGGTGCCTTGGCCATCCTGGTGTGGTGGTAGGTGTCCCTGCCCATGGCAGGGGTTTGGAGTTAGATTATCTTTAAGGTTCCTTCCAATCCGAGCCATTCCTTGATTCTGTGATTCTATGATTGTTTATATTTAAGCATTCAGACTCCAAGACTGATTTGTAACAGGGACTCTCTACTCCGATCTCATGGTGAGTAGAGACTTCAGCAACTCCGGGACCAGAGAACCTGACCCTGGAATTTCTGTATTTTGTGGGAACTTTGGATGTTTCCAAGATATTTTCATTCTGTATGAGACAAAAAGTCAAATAAAAGCACCTCCGAGAATATGATTTACCCAAGCCATACACTTTAATATAAAATGAGCCATTCTTTTTTGATTCATTTTTTTTTAATAACATGTATCACATCATCTGAATGTATTTGCTTTGAAGAGAAATTTTAGTGCATTAAATTTATTCTCTAATGCTACTGGGAGAAAATCATCAGTGAATTAAACTATGTATAGTATATATATGTAATTATATATATATTGTATTATAGAAAATATTATAATTAAGTGAGAAAGAAGGTGGATCACTAATGAATACACAAATGCTGCTCAACTCTTTATGAACTACTCCTGCTTGGAAAACCCATCCTTCCTGAAGTGACATGTCTGTCCCGGGAATGACCAGGAAAAACATTTTTGTTTCCTGTGTTGTGTCTACAGGTCAGGAGTAACACGGTATTATCCCATTTACAGTGGCAGACCTCCTGAAGAGAAACTAAACAATTTATTTCCACATGAAAAGGATGAAAAATACCAGATACTTCTCTATCCAGGGACCCACAAAAGGGCACTCAGAAATGGTGACAAAAACACCTTGGATATTTGACTGTAAAACAGACTTCTCAGTGCCTGGGAAAGGTTCCTTTTCTACTGCTGGCATGCAGAGCTATGCTTGGAGGAGGTCACAGTTTTAGTCAACACCTTCAATTATAACACACATCTGCCTGCATAAAACTCCTGCTTTAGGCCATCTTTGCTGATTGTTTTACATGTTGTCTGCAAACTTAGTTCATCTGGCATGAGCCAACTTACTCCCAGAGAGGAAACTTTGGGAAGGCAGGGCTTTATCTCTGCCATTACAGGTAGTAGGAAAACCATTGGCACCTGAGTTTTCAGACAACTAACTCACCTCGAGGCATCCAAAAGCATCCCACCCTCTATAGGTTTTTGCACACTTAGGGTTTAGCCACTTGATCAAGTGTCACAGTATAGAAACCTGGGGGTGCTGACTAGCAGCAATGGCTCACCAGGGCAAGAAGACAACAAATTGCACACGGACATTCATTATAGGATGAATAATTGAACCAGCCCTTCCTGGGCACAGAGCTTTTTTCTGCTGTGCTCTGGCAACTAGGGAAAAGGCAACTGGTTGACAACACATCACCACGGAAAGTGAACCTTGCACAGCTTCACATCAGTCCACCAAGCCTTGCTTCAGCACTGCTTAGGACCCTGGGAAAGGGAAATTTTCTGACAGTTACATCTGTTAGAAGGAATTGAAAGAGAATCCTCAGCTAGAGGTTCCTCTGTTTATTTTTTTCTGGACTTGGACAGTGGCGAAACCTGTCAATGGTGGATGTCCATGGTCCATGGACAATTTCTGTATGACTTTGAGAGATAACTAAGAGAAATAGTGCTTTTGCCAGGTATCTAACATTGATATACAAAGCCATGGGAAACTTGTAGAGGGATCTGCAAACTGGAAAAGTCTGGAAATTTCTTCTGATTCCTTTGGACTTAAACAAGTGCTAAAAGACTTCTCTTTGATTTTGTTGTTGTTGTTTTTGGTTCTTGGGTAAAGGTGAGGAGTCTTTGTTTGATTTCATCTGTCCTATTAAGGACAAATTGACACTACTCACTTAAGTTCATGTTATTGAATTGTTCTGTTGTAGAAGACAATGCACAGTTTCTCTCAGCCCTGAAAACATTTCATTTTATTTCCTGGACTCCTCCAGGAGACTTGTAGAGGTTTATTGACCAAGAAAACATTTATTTCCTAGATTCCTAAGGGAATGGCATCGGCCTCTTCTGGCCTTACCTTGTTGTAGCTGCTTTGCACTATGGCTTGTAATGTGTGTGTTGCCTTAAGGCTTATTTATTGCTTCTCTTGGTGTAGGCCAAAACCTACAGTTTTGTAATGTTCCTGAAGGAATTAATAAATTTGTCCCATCAGAGTCATCTGTTACCTCTTGTCCCTCAAAACCTTCCTGGGGCTTTACCAATTCCCCCACCTCTAGTCCTGCCGTCCTATAGAAGAAGGACCCCAGATGCAGTACTTACAGTACGAAAGTACATGGGTGGCATGATGTATGGGGAAAAGAAACTGCTTGTGGATTTGTGAGATTGCACAGCCCAGTATAGTGTTATGCCAAAGATTATCAGGGAGGAGCAAACATGACAGGGATGCTTTAAAGTGGCTTTTGGAAGTAGCCTAGGAAAAAGGATGAGTGCTGGGAGAGGGAAGCACATGGAGACTTGAGCAGACCCATCCAGAGAAATGAGGCTTGTGCCATGTAGGCTGAGAAATCATGGACTTTGCCACTGAACAGTAGAAGCACATGTACTCTCAAGCATGGTCTTCCTTCTCAGAAGTCCTGACATATATAAGTATGGTTTCAAGATGGATTCATGAGGTCCTGATCACTCTGTTCTGTTGACAGGATTTCTCCCCACCATCAGAAAACTTGTGCAGTGTGTGATGCGTTATGAGGATGAACACAGTGCTAGGGATGCTGGCAGGTAGGCATTCTCTCTAAACATGTGTGTGTTCATGCCTGAGGCCCACTCCACAGCCACCCTGCAGAAGGATAATGAAGGAGGGCTGGCATTGCATGAGTGGGAGCATCACCCAACTGGTGCCCAATTTGCAGCATCACCACTTAGGCTCCTCTTTGAGAGCAGCAAGGCAGCATTGATATGTGCCAGGCCCCTCTATCAGAATTCACCTGTATGCATTATTTTTTTTTCAACTCTATTAAAATTATTTTCTTTTGAAAATTGCTTCTATTATTGTGACCCTTATTTGTGGTTAAAAGGACAATATTACAAAATAGCCCTTTCTAGTTTCTTTAGTCGTTCATTGCTTTCTGGTTTAACCCAATCCTCTAGGCTTGGCATGTTAAGCAGTTTTCCTCTTGTGTTTCCTAAAAAAATTTCTAGGAGCTAGTTCAAAAAACCTTTTCAGTCTTTTTTTTTTTTTTTGTAAAAAAAAAATCTCTGTTAATATATTCTAAACCAATGAGTCGTAGGACTGTAGAAAGATGATACCAATTAAACTTAAGATCTGACAGCCTTTTCATAAGTAGAGCAAAAGATTTGGCTGAAAAGGCACTTTGAGTTGTTTCTTTGCAGGGTAGTACTTGCAATCAAAATAGATTTGATGGGGCTAAGATCTATTTTTGGTTGTGCTGCTGCATATCCATAGTGAACCAGTGAAAACACCTACAAAAAAAAAGGAAGATTTCAGAGCTGTTTGAGTCAGTTTGTGCAGAAACCGGTGTCAAAGCAGGTGTCAGACCTATCTCAGTGCAATTTTATGTTTGAAAGAAGATTTCTGTCTTTTAAGGACTCAAACAAGCACAAGTTTTCTTGTGATATTCTATAGTCGGAGCCGAGAGGTGCTCATTTTGGCTTTAACAGCCTGGTTTATATTCCTTTTAGGAAAAGCTGGTTTTACAGACAAATTCAACATTTGGTAGGATAGATGTATAAATGGCATTTCTTTAGTGGTATCTCAAAAAAATCAATACAGTGGGAACTTAAGTATTTCAGAAACACAGTTTTTTTAAAAAATTTTCTTTAGTTTTAGAGGCAAATTTATTATTTCAGCTTTCTTTTCTCAATATATGACCTAATCATACACGTCCTTATTAAACTGAGTAATTTCATTAGAGTGAATTTATTTTTATGTGAATACATTCATGTAAAATTAATTTTATTTACAGAATCATTTATCACATTCAGATTTTTTTTTCTAAAATAAATTAAATAATATTTTAAAATGCCAATAGCCCAAACACCCATGAACAGTGTTATAACAAACCAGAACTTTCACATGCTGCACATTTGTTTTACTAAATTAAAAATGTAAACTTTGTGTCTCTAGCAGACCCTATGTAAAAAATAATGAGTCAAATTTGATGCTAATTTGTTTTTTTTCTTAAGATATTCACCCCCACAATATTAAAGCATTCGTTTATGCAATATGGGCCTTTATAAGTCCTTCAGAAAAAGGAAAATAAATAATAATAAGAAAAAAACACAACCGGGACAAACCAAAGCTATTCCACTAGCCTTTGACAGAAGCTAGTGCAGTGGGTAACCTGCAGGTTTCCCTGCCAAGGGCATACCATGCATACCACACTGGTACATACAAGGGCAGAGATATTGGCTTGAACTAAGGCAGGTGCAGGAGCCCAGCTGCCTGGTGTTAGCTGAGCCCAGGTAAATCTGTTCCTGGTATTGCACAGGGCTGTCAGCTGAAATTAAAGGACTTTGAGCATGATTAAACACAGGTGAAAGTTGATTTGTTTGCATGACTCAGGATGAGTGAGAGCAGCCAGGGGTGGGGAGGAGCTTGATCTTATGCTTGCAAACAGAGATGGGCTGGTTGAAGGTGTGAAGGCTGGAGACGGCCTTGGCTGCACAGACCGTGAGACGTTCAGATCTCACAAGGAGGAAGCAGGGCAAAAAAGATCTCAACTCTAGACTTCAGGAGAGCAAACTTTGGCCTCTTCAGGGATCTACTTGGAGAAATCCCATGGGTTAAGGCCTCAGAGAAAAAGAGGGCCCAAAGGAGCTGGTCAGTATTCAAGCATCACTACTTCCAAGCTCAAAATCTATGTATTTCTATGGGCAAAAGGGAAGCAAAGGGGGCAAGAGACCTCCTTGGGTGAGCAAAGAGCTCCTGGAGGGACTCAAATGGAAGAAGGAAATATAGAGAATGTAGAAAAGGGGACAGGCCACTGGGGAAGAATATAGAGATGTGGTCAGAGGATGCAGGGATGTGATGAGGAATGACAAGGCCCATTTAAATTAAAGTTGTTTATTGTGAGGGTAACAGCAATGGAACAGGTTGCTTGGAGCGGTTGTGAGGTCTCCTTCTCTAGAGATATGCAAAACTCAGTTGGGTGCGATATTGTGTAGTATGTTCTAGGTGACCCTGCTTGGCAGGGGGGTTGGTATAGATAATCTCCAGAGGTCCCTTCCAACCTCAACCATTCTATGTGATTCTGTGAGAGCATGAGGCTATCTTGGTGGACCAAGAAACATGTAGGAGCTACAATGGTGAGACAGATTCAAGACATCCAAGTTCCATCAGAATTTCCTCCTAATGATTAATCTAAATCTATCATCTTTTAGTTTAAGACCATACCACCTTGTCCTATCATTATTTACTTGAGTAAAGAGTCTTTCTCCATCCTTTTATAAGACATCTTTAAGTATTGAAAGTTGCAATGAGTTCTCCCTGAAGTCTTCTCTTCTCCAGAGTTATCTTGTCCACAGTAACTGCAGTAATAATTGTTACCTTCAACCTTCTTCTTTTTCATTGTAATTCCTTCTATTTATTTTATTATCCTTTATTCTATGTTATAACTTAAATGTTTATAGATGTAGGTTAAAAAAAAAGCCTTAACAGCATCCATGAGTACTTCATTACTTCATACACTGTACATTAAATCAAGTCCATTGTTAATACTAGTTGATTTTATTATGTCTTTCATCTGTCTAGATCTAGTCTCTTCTTCTGAGTTTATTTGTTTCTTAGTGGTCTGCCCTACTTTGGCTGTTCTGATGTCAGCTGCCCATGGCGTCAGGATGGCTTGTTGGGTCCTCAAGGAAGACAGCAACTCAGATGCCCCATGTACTGTGGGTGATCAGAGGTGTGGGGTGGTGATGCCCATGCCCAGGATGGCTCAGGTGTGGTGGGCAGAAGCAGCTGAGGGGCTCACCAGGGTGGCTGAGGGGACACGGCTGCAGATAAATCTGTGCAGGTGCCCTCTGGGAGGGTGCAGGATAGTCTAGGCCAAAAGCAGCCCAGGGGCTCTTGCAACTGCTCACAACTGTTACATGTGGTGACCATTCATGATGACCACGTCCCACTTTGAGCGATGTTCTGTGGTACTGTTGAACTTAGATGCAACCACGTAACTAATGTCACAGATCTGTCCTGGGCTCTTAAACATCATGGTGGGGACATTCCACAATAGGGAGATTGACACCTTCAAGATTGTCTAATCAAGTAAAAAAAAAATATATATATATATACTTTATATTGGGAAAGGGGGATACAAACCTCAGCCAAGGGATTCTTGATGATTTTGTCTTTCCTGCAAAAAAAGGAAGATCCTGTGTATTTGCAAATTAGTTTCCCAAAGGCTCCCTTAGGATAACTGGCAGCCACATTGATGTTATGTCTTGTAGTCTAAAGGACATATACCAACTAAAAGGGCTTAAGGAGACTCAGCTTGAAATTTTCTTCACAGAGCTTCTTAACAGCCATGGTATAATAGTCCAATAAACGAAAGAAATTATTTTATGGTGGTTATCTATCATATACAAAAGGAATAGGTTTCCATTATGGGATTAGAAAGGACAGTTAACGTTGTATAGCATTGATGTGCAAGGTTTGAAATGTTTGTAAAGTAGGCAATAGGACTGGTTGAACGTGAATTGTCCTTACAAGACACTAATGAAGTTGTGTTATGCTTTAAGCTATTCAGTATTGTCAAACATTCCTTCCCCCAGTATCTGGCGATCTTACAACATAGGGGTGTTGCAGGTAAAGTGGTAAACAGGAGGATTAGGTGTAGGAAGTACTGAGTAGTTGTGGCTAATGCACACATATGGAAATGTCATCGCTGGAGATAAAAGCAACATGTTTACAGGTTTGGTTGGAGAATTTTCCACTCAAGCTTTATCAGATATCTCTCATTCAGTGTCTGGTAAGCAGTACATAGGCCAGACTTTACTTTCACTAGGCTTAAATGATTCCCTTTTTGATGTTAGTTACAGGGTGAGGCACAGCCTCCCTGTAGGTGGCAGCCTGTAAATTGAGGTCACCAGGAACAAGGTGTCCAGGCTGTCTCTGTTATTAATGAGGACAGACAGGCATTTCCAGGAGGTGGTTTGTTGCACCTGTTTTAGGAAACTGTGTTGTGTTGCAGAGGGGAAGGACCCCAGAAGTGGCTGCCACCACCAATTACAGAGGGATCTTACCTGACTAGCTCCGACAAGATGCCTATATCCCAGATGACCCAAACAAGATAAAAGAATACAAAGCTTTGATCTTCTGGTGCTTATTGCACAAGTATGTGCTGTTTCCTATAATAACTTCAGTGACTTATATATGATAGTTTAGGAAGAGGAAGCTAATTAACAACAGATATTTAACTGTCCTGTCTTTATCTCTAGCTAACAGTATGCAGAGTACACCAGCTCTAAATAAGAGCAATTATAAATAATAATAAAATACTGGAGAGAAGCCAATTCAACATATGCAATATGGTTTTTAGCTGGAATTTATTCAGTTTCCTAAGTGCATATTGTAACTCCTTGCTGGGTTTTAATTTAAATCAAGAAAAGCAAGTAAGAAAAAGTACAAAAAATCTCCAATAGTTTTCACAGAATCTGTCAGTCTGTGCAAATTAATATGGCTGTGAGCTTACGTTGTACCCAGTGCCTTGTGATTGCAGGGCAAGTTGTTATAATCATATGGCTCAGATCTGGGCATTACAGTAACAGCCCAGTCCTGGCTTTCTGGGCATTTCAGCATAAAATGCAAGAGAGGAAAGCAAGCTCTTCATTAAATTAATACATCGACCTGGTGTGCATACAATGTACACAGTCAGGATTTTGGGGGGCAAATATAACAGCAATCAATTTTAATTTTAATTATTTTTATTTTGTCGGGTTTCTCAAACAGAAACATCTGTGGAGTCTCTGCAACTCTCTGAAAATTGAAAGCGCACACAACATTGCTTCAGGTCTCCAGGTGGTGGCACCCCAGCCCTGTTTTTCTGTAAGGCAATTAAAAAAGAAGAAAAAAAAAAAAAAAAAAAAAAAGGAAAAAAAAATAAGCCACCTAAGAAGTCTAGGGGAGGCAAATGTTTTGTTTCTTATAATTTGCTTCATTTGTAGATAAGAATCTAAACTTTAAGAGCCATACTTGGAAGGAATCATTAGTAAAACAAACCAAGGACTTATCATTGTTACCTATGTTACTTCATTTCTACTCTTTAAACTTTTTTAAATAGTCTGTCGTTCTGTGCATAGAGACTATTTATTATTTCATGCACTATTTACTCATGTTAAAAATGAAGTGACAGAGAATAGAGGCAAAGGTCTCCTGCTTGCAAGGAACAGTGGATAAATATATTTGTTTGTACTATGGGTTTGCAGTTCCACTAGAAGGAACACTTGACATTTTGATGAGCGTCTCCAGGGAGAAAAGGTACTAACTTCAGAACTTAGTTTTAATTATACTAAGGAGATTACATTATTCAAAAGCATCCCACTGGTAAGGTGCAGCATTTCCTGAAACAGTTTAGTGGAAAATGCCACATTAATCAGTTCAGTATTTCACTCAAATGGCTTAATGATGGGAAGAAAAGTTGAAAGCACTGTAGTATAAAAACAAAAAGAGACAGAATGTTCATTTAAGGGAATAGGATCACATTTAAATGACCTCTTTCAAGTGTACGTTTTTGAGAGGGAAATGACAGTGGTGAGGAGGCAATACTGTCTTATTCTTGTTTGTATGCTGATACCCATGGTGGTTATGGTGCTGTGCTCAGATGAAAAAAAGACACCAGGCACGCTTGTAAAGCTCACAGCTCTGCAATTCATGCCCATGGCCCATGACCAGGTACAGCATAAATATAATCTGGTCTAAAACAATTGAAATGTTGGCATTCAGGCTGTCAGGCTTGGAACTCTATTTAACGAAGGAGGCAGAGCAAGCAGCAAGCATCTCCAGACCTGCTTTGGTTTGTCTGCCATTACAGTTAAAACATGAGACCACAAGTATTGTTATGGAGTTGTTTCTCTCCTCTTCAGAAGAATAAAGTCCAACTGCAGCCAACTCTTTTTAAATGAGCAAAGAAATAAACACACAGTGTTAAGTGAGAGTTATGGCACTCATTACACCTCTACAATTCACATGCAGATCTGGCCATTTTTATGTTCTTACGTGCATAGGCAGTTGATCTCTCTCTGTAAATGACACAAAATATTGCCCACATGTTTTCCTGTCACATTCATATGCCTAAACATTTTATTACCTTGTCCTTCCTCCTCGTGTTCCTTCCTTCCCATTTGTAGCCCCAGGCCATAAGAAAAGAATTTTCACAGCTGGTTCAGTCCCAACCTACATAAAGTAAAATAATGTTGTCAGTCAAACTATTAACATCATAAAGGATCAGAGTGTGGGCAGCAATTTTGCTGAAGTGGTGACGTGCAAAAGTTTCTCCATGGAGAATGAAGTCTTTAGCAATACAGTGCCGTAGTGCCAGTAAACACATACAGCTGAAAGAATCTGGGAGTCATGCTATGACTTCTGGCCATACCGTGTTGTCTTCTCTTCTTCAAAAAGAGAGGAGGATTATGGCAAAGAGCCTTTCTGAGTGATGATATTAATGGAGAAGATAAATCAAAGAAAACAGAAAGATCCTGAAAGTCCTCCCTTAACTCACTACCCCTGGGACTACCCCAAACTGCGCTATCCACATTTTGCTAATGGACACGCTCTAGGAAAGTACCTAGAAATTAACAAGGTGGTAAGTAACTGCAACTATGGATTTGTCAAGAAGAAGTCATGCCAAACCTGTCTAATTTCCTTTTTCTGACAACATAAATAGCTTTATGATAAAGGGAATAACCAGAGATATATCACATCTTAGCTTTAGTGGGCCTTTTTGTACTTCCTATGGTACACTCATAAGCAAGGTAAAGAAACATTGTCCAGGAGAAACTGTTGAAACAGACACAGGTCTTGAGAATAGACAACCTTAGAAAACAACAATCAAATGTTCACCACCAGCCTGAGCACACTTATGAAGTGGGTTTGTGCAAGGTTTGGTCTTGTGTTGTCTACCCTTGAGTAATGACTTGGTTGAAAAACAGGAGAGGATGCCTGCAGAACTTTCATATGTCTAAGCTGGGAGATATAGCAAATGTTTTAGATGGCAAGGGCAGAATAAAAAAGGGTCTCAATGAATAGAGATTAATGGGCTGAAATAAATAGGCTGCCATTCAATTAAGATAAGTGGAAGTCTCTACCCCAATTAGCTGGCGGCAATCAGACAGGCAGCAGTACCACAGATGAGGATCTGCAGGTCACAGTGAACAGAAGTTAACTGTGTCATGATATTGTAAAAAAGGGAAGCTTATGGTGGGATTTATAAAAGCTGGGCTATGTGATGTGCACAAAGAAATCCTACCATGTTGCTGAGCATGACAGAGTACAGCTGGACTGTAGACTCCACTTTTGCATGGCACACATAAAGAAATGTGTTACAAGTGTAGAGAGCCCATAGTAGAACAAAATCTGAGAAAACACTGCCTGTGAAGAAAGACTGAAAGGTGATATTCCGTCATTCAAAGGAGTGCAGCCCAAAGGGACACTTGCTAAAAGTTTCCTAGCAAGAAAAATGCTGCTAAAAGCAGCAAGAGGGTGTGCTGTGCTGTATGTTCTGTATCTCTGAAGAGCAGGTAGCAACTCCTGCATGCAAACAGTAGCAAAGAAGATTTAAGGTTAGGTTGTAGAGAAATGTTCTACATGTAAGCAAGTGCAAGCATGGTTACAGTGCATAGGAAGCTACAGGATGTCCATCTTTAAAAGTCTTTTTGGAACATTGGTTGAGAATACCTATTTTTGGAGTAGGGAAATAGATCAGCTGCTGTCTTAGCCTTATTGTCACTAGCATTAGTGACTGACTCTCAATCTGCAGAAAGCAATGTAGAAAAACAGAATGTACAGTGGTTTTATATTATTACGACCCCCAAAGTCAGAAATGTACTGTAGCGTATTAATATTTGCTTTCAAATAGTATAAACCACTATGGCTAACCTAGGAAGCAAATAAATAAAGGAGTCCAAGGCTTCTTTTGGAAGGAAGGAGAACTGCAGCTGACAAGAAATGCACACAAGCACTGTGTCTGTAGGGTGGACAAGCTGATGAAACATGCTCCTGCTATTGCTATTAGTAAACTATCACACACTGTAGAGTTAGAATCATGCTTGCTGAGTTGCCAGTATTTCATCCCAAACATCAGATCAGCCATATCTTTGGAGGTGAAGGGACTATCTCTTTATGAAAAACAGAATAGCCTTTTGGTGTCTCTGGTCACTAATAAATACTGAGTCAAATAACTGAGATGGGCCTGCAGGGTCTTGCAGAGCACAGTTAGAGATATAGCACAGCTAGTGCCTTTCTAGCATTTTCTCCTCATTTTTGTGATTTTTGTTCTTCAGTTCTGCCTTTGGAAGTGTTGGAAGTGTTTCCTTCCTTTACTACCTGTTAACCCTGCTTACACACACCAAGTGTTGTAACTCTCTACCTGGAGTATTGCCTCCTTGTGGGATGTCTGATTTTCTTGGGTTTAATATTTTTGTGATAGTAATTAATTTAATCAAGTTCATGCTTCCCACAGCACTGCCATTACATTTATTATTAATGCACCTTGGGAGGAATAACCCCAAAAACCAACACAGAGTGGGGGCTGACCTGCTGGAGAGCAGCTCTGCAGAGAGTGACCTGGGAGTCCTGGTGGACAGCAGGCTGACCATGAGCCAGCACTGTGACCTTGTGGACAAGAAGACCAACGGCACTCTGGTCTGCATTCGGAAGAGTGTTGCCAGCAGGTCAAGGGAGGTGATCCTCCCCCTCTACTCAGCCCTGGTGAGGCCACACCTGGAGTGCAGTGTCCAGCTCTGGGCTGCCCAGCACAAGAGGGACATGGAGCTACTGGAGTGAGTCCACAGGAGGGCTACAATGATGATGAGAGGACTGGAGCAGCTGTTGTACAAGGACAGGCTGAGAGAGCTGGGCCTGTTTAGCCTAGAAGAGAGAAGACTGAGGGCAGATCTCATCAATGTATATAAATATCTGAGGCGAGGGTGTCAAGAGGATGGAACCAGTCTCTTTTCAGTTGTGCCCAGTGACAGGAGGAGAGGCAACGGGCATGGACTGAAGCACAGGAAGTTCTGGCTGAATATGAGAGGGCACTTCTTTACTGTAAGGGTGACAGAGCACTGTAAAATGTTGCCCAGAGAAGATGTGGAGTCTCCTTCTCTGGAGATAATCAAAACCTGCCTGGATGCCACCCTGCACAATGTGCTCTAGGTGATCCTGCTTGGCAGGGGGGTTGGACCAGATGATCTCCAGAGGTCCCTTCTGACCTTGGCCATTCTGTGATTCTCTGATTCTGTAACTAATTCTCCTTCAGTAAAGAAATAAAATAAAGACACTGTGAAAGGTCACTGTAGAATGGAAGAAGCCGTTGCTTTCCTTTCTTTTTCCTCCTCTCTTTTAAAACACTGTCCTTCAAAAACTTTCCCTCAAACTTCCTCTCAGTGGCTAGAAGAGACAAGAGACAATTCAAAGACAAAAAGAGTATAAAATCACCTCCCTCAAGGCCTCCAGCTAAGAGCCTTGCTTGAAGTGAGCTATGGACCTTACACTGGGTGTCTACAGGACCTCCATCCAGTGGGAAGGGAACCCCAAGAGAACTGCCACTTCTTAATGCAGACTTGAGTCTCAGCGTATCTTGAGGATTGTATATCTATCTCATCCTTCACATTATTCACTTGTGCTTTAAAACATAAGCTTTCTGGTTGCCCAGAGAGATTGTGGAGTCTCCTTGCTTGGAAATCTTCAAAACCACCTGAATATTGACTTGGACAACCTGCTGTGGGTGTCCCTACCTGAGCAGGGGGTGTGGACAAGATGAACTCCAGAGGTCCCTTGCAACCTCAGCCACTCTGTGATTCTGTGATTCTGAAAGCTTTTGCTTCTTTTGTATTTCAGGCACTTCAGCTGGGCATTGTGGTTACAAAGCCTTCAGGGCATTAAAAATCTATTTCACGGTAACAAGCAGATTTTTTTTTTTTCCTTAGGATTGCCAACTGGAATTCTCTATATCTCTCTCCACCCTTGACGTTTATAGTTCCAGTTTACTCTAATTATTCCCGAGGGTACAAAAAGGCAGGTACTCAGTTGCCACCAATGGATGCTTGGCTGCCACTGCTTTTTTGTGATTATGAAATTGAAAAACTCACATGGGAAAAAGTAGTCATACTTTCTTTAAGAAGCGTTGACAGCCTGAGGTTTAACCACTGCAGCTACTTTGCAATGACTAAGTCTGTCTTCTGTCATGTCAAATAATGGTCAAAATTCTGTTGTCAGCTATCTTTGGAAAACTCCCCAGAATTTATCAAGCTTATGTTTCTTTAAGAGACTTTCCCCCCATGTTCTACAGCATGACAAAAATCTATAAAGATATTGAAGACAAATAATTGACAGAACTAATAGGAAATCAGGCATGAAAAAGTTCAACAGAGGATGCTTGACACAGATCAGGGTCTCACATAACTGTAATTTTATAATACATCACTAAATTCAGCAGTATCAGCTGAGCTATTCCAGAATCACATAATGTAACCTATGGATGTCACCTGGCTTCTCCAAAAAAAAGTCACTAGAACATGAGAGAAATGGGAAGCTTGTTTTTATGTGCTAAATCTGAGTTAGAGTTAGTTTTTCTTGATTTAGCTGCCATAAGGTATTGTAAGCAAGAAAAAAAAAAAAAAAAAGAAAGGCAGAATGAGAGGAAACCTAATTTAGAAGGAAAGGAGTTGCAAGAAGAATTGACTGAACAGTATTTGGTGCTTTTGTTGTTAGAATTCAGAGGGCAGGAATTCAAACCTGGACTGATGACAGATAACAATATTATGTGGACATGGAGAGCACCTTGAATACTATTCTCAGTTTTGGGCCCTTCACTA